GTGATTATTTTATTTAATGTGTAACAGAATATGTTCCCCACTCACCTTGGGACTTGTCCAGACTTGTCCTCAAGTCAAGATTCTCTGAAAATGTCATTATAAACCTCCAAAACTCATGCCAAGTCCAGCCAAGAGTCCTCCCTAAGTTCCATATGCATTGGGAAAGGTTTGTCCCCCACCACATGTTGACCAAGACCACATAAACTCCCCCCATCAGCCATATTTCGTTTTAACACTTAGAGAAACAGTACAATACTCCATTTCCTCTCCTTTTGTTCAGCAAAATTCAGCTAAAGCTCCTACCAACTCCCTAGTGCCCCTAGACGCGCGTGCAAGCCCAAGAGAAGGAGGGTCCGAGCCACAACTTGTTCCAGCCATTTTCCACCGAGGATCACCTATTCTATTGCATTCCTTGGAGTATTCTAAGCTTCCTTTTTCACCTAAGTTCAGCCATTGGCGCCCCAAGTCAAGTCCTAGCCCTCCAAGCCACGAACGAGCCGTATCAAGCACCCTTTCACCATTTTCGTTCTTCGGTGAAGGTTAGCCCATGTTATCTTTACTTTACAGCTATAACATGATATTTTAAGATTTATCATGTAGAGAAACCAAGTTTTTCTCGGGTAGAATGAGAAAATCGGATTTTTGAAGCTTAAAGCCTTAAAATTGGATTTTTCGGTCCATGCATGTTTAGGCCGATTTTTTGAGCTTAAAAATCCTTATAAATCATGGGTAATATGAGGTTAAAACAGGTTTTAAAAATAAGTAAGGGTGCTCGGCCATCTAGAAGTCGATATTTAGTCTATTTTTGCTCCCCGGGCCAATGTTTTGTGCATGCGAGTTATAGCAAATGTGCCAAGCCTTAAAGTCATGATTTCTGATGTATTATGCTCGGCCTTAGTCATTTAAGCAAGATTGAGTAGTTGGTTGGGTGACCCCCCATGCTCGTATATGCCTTATCGGCCCTCCCGAGCCCTTAGCACTTTTACCCGAGGTCCTATAGCATTTTATTGTATTTTTGTGCCTATTGTATCATGTTAAAGTCATATAAGATTCATGTCCCTAGTAAAGTCCCCAAAAAGTCGCCGAACGTCCGACAAAGGCCGGACGTGGGCGCTGCCGCGCACAGCGCGCGCGCAGCACGCTTGATACGGAAGTGGTTGTCGAGGCCGAAGAGTGGTCGGGGGTGACCGATGGTCGAACGGGCGAAAGGTGCGCATCGGGCGGTGATGCGCGAGAGCCGGTGGTCAGTACGCGGTCGGCATGGGGTGCACGCGGGTGCACGGTAGGCGAGCAGGCCGCGGACATTGGGTGGTACGCGCAGGCAGCGAGCAGCGGGCGAGCTGGGCGCGCGGGTGAAGGTCACGCGGGCGGCAACCGAAACCTCGCAGGTGTAGGAGTACGGGGCAGCGGGGCGTACGCGCGCGAGATTAACGGACGAGGTGATGGGCGCGCGACAGCTCGCGAGTGGGAGACAGGCGCGAGCGCAGGCCTATGCGCGGAAGGAATAGGAGGGGCTGGAAGCGACGCGCGCGACACGGTGCGCGCATGGATGTCGGGGACGAGGGCAGC